TTTCCCTACCTGAGTCTTCCAGCAGATACTTTGATAATGCCATTAAGCTCACAGTCACAGTAAGACCACATGAGTATATTGTCTTCTGGAAGAAATGTTGTGTGGAGGAACATAGTTTGGGGATCCCAGGTAACTGGTACTGTTCATTAGATTCTAGCCAAAACTTGCTTTGGAAATCAGTAAATCCTAGAAGCCCTGAATAGCCAAGCATGGAGTGGACTAGTATAAACAGCAATGAGGTGTCCTGTCTCACTTATTAGTTTAATTTTCTTCCATGGGTTGGAGCCATGGAATATCACTTCAGATGCACACACTAGTGAAGACAGATTAATGACTTTGCTATGGAAATGCTCAGGCTAACCCAATGGTCAGATAAGGTGTCAGACATCCAGGTTAATTGCTTGGTGATAACTAATGGGTTCCAGAAGCTGAATCCTGGATCAAAAGTCAAAGTAGTTGTAATGCCAATGGCTGTGCCAAGAACTTAGGTTGCAAAATGGGCCAGTGAAGCCTTTTACTGTAGTAGAAAACTAGCTGCAAACAGAATCAGAGGCAGTAGGTCCTATGGATGGCAAGGGCTGAGCCGGGTTGATGGTGGCAAGGGTGTTTTTTGGTTTTTTTTGGGTTTTTTGGGTGTTTGTTGGTTTTGTGTTTTTGTTTTTTTTTTCTTTTTTTTCAAATACATAAATGGGGAAATTAGCTGCAGACTCGCTATGCTAGCAACTGGAAATGTGGAGTAGGAATAATGTATGTAGCACTCAATGGTAACAGCAGCACAGAACTGAAAAGCACTGAGTTTCATAGGCTAGAGATTTCTGGAAAAGGAAACTGCCTGCAGGTCAGTTCTCCTGCATTCAGGGAAGCAGAACTCTGTCATGCTATGTGAACAAAACCATGCCACCTTACATCAACTCTGCACTATGGTGTATCTTGGCACAAGAAGTGATCTGGAGAAATTCCATATAGCAAGCACTATGTTCTCGCAAACTGCTTGGCTCAGCAGGGCAATTCTATATAGTGAAATTTAAAAATAAATAAATATTCTCCCCCACCCTCAAGTAAATACAAAGCTCTTATTTTCCATGTTTATTTTGGAAGAGAATCCTTTTTCCTTTTGATGAGGATTGTTTTGGAGAAAGCCCATGTAACAAATGGGCAGACTGAAGCTGTCAGTGGTCAGACAAGTGAAGGCACAGGGAAGGCCAGAACTGAAAATGATGAAATGTGTTTTTACGCTAAGAATTTTGCAGGAAGAACACAGTATAGACTAGATCAATAAAGTCCAGGAATTGTACAAAATATTTTTCTCTGGGTTAGAGAAAGGAGTGATATGGATCCTATAGGGTATTTAAAAGGATTAAGTCAGGTTTCAAAGTAACTAACAAGATCCAAGGATTATTTATTTTTTTATTGTTCCTGTAAACAAGTCTAGGTTGCATGCCTGACTCAGGATTCCAGCTTATGCTCCTGCTTTTCATGAGAGAGACTTGAATTAACTTAAAGGAATGCACTGTTGTGTCCTGTTGCAGGGAAAAGGTAACACAAATCCAACTGAGGTTAGTCCTGTGTAGCACCACAACCATGCCTTGCTTCATGCTTAGGTCAGAATCTTTCAGAAGTAAAAGCAGACGCATCCCCAAGCAATAATATCTGTCTCCATAGGAAAAGTGTACCATACACATACCAACTGATTCCAAGTGTTTCCACAGCAGCCATTAAAGTCAATCATTATCTTGGCTGTATAAGGAATTTAGAACTGGGGCCTTAAACCAAGTCTCTGTGCTGCATGAATTGTTGTTTACACTCTTCTCTCTCCTCAGATTTTGTGGGAAATCACAGCTTGTTACTGAAAGTCTCTAGAGTATTGAGTCACTATGCTAGTGGTTTTCTAAGATACTGTCAGACCTACTTTCTCTAATTGACATCTAGACTGCTATGGATACAGTATTTAAAACTATATAGTATCCTGAGGCAAAAAACAAATTATTGTTACAGAGACTTTTTCTGTTTCAGTGAGTTAGGAACTTACAATTAGTGATAGTTTTGTCTCTTAGGAGAGAAAACAGTTGGAAATAGATCACTTTTTAAAAGAATTAGTCTAGTTACTCTCCAAAAACTGTCGGTAGTCCTACATAAAGCACTTTACAGGACCGTAAAAAGTAATCTGTTGCCATCAGTGATGGCCAGTTCACTATAGCCTGTGAAGTGTGTATATATTCCTTAGAGATGCATATCCCCATTCTGCAGTCGACTTATTTTAGTATAGCTTTTGAAAAATGTTGTGACCCTTTCCTCACATATTTCTATTGGTATTGTTTTTCCATATTTCTGAAGAGTTTTTCCAGATGGGAAAGCCAATGTGAAAGAAGCTGCCTTTCTCTTCTGTCCCTCCCCCTGCCTCCTGTGTAATGAAAGTTCATTGGCCTTTTTGTTTTCTTCAAGTTAAAATTGTAATTCACCCAGTGGTTTCTTCTTTTTTTTCATTGTAGTTATGGTTTCTTGTACTTTTCATATTGGATAGTAAACTAAACTTAACATGTGGAGTACTGAATCTGAAGTCATTCAGCTAAAGAAAGAGTACTCATAACAAAAAGTGAAATAGGACGCTGGTTTTGCTTCTTGAATTATATGTTCAGTTCAGTGTTGCAGTTGTGAGAAATACAGGATGATTAGACATATTTTTAAAAAAAGGAATAAAGGACCGTCTTCTATGGAAATTAGGTAAAAAACCAGCACCACTACCACCACCAAAAAAAAACCCCAACCATAACCAAAATCAAACAAACAAACAAAAAAAACCAAACTGGAAAAAAAACCTTCATGTTGCTGAAAGATGTTGAAGTTTGGGCTATATATCTTGGAGGTACTCTTGAAAATGAAGTGGGGGTGGGGGCAGAGAGAATTTGTCTTACTGATCTTCAGAAATGCAATACTGCTGGACTGTTTAATATATTGTCTAAACAACCTTACAGCTTCAAAAAGGAAAGATGATACTGAAGGTTATAATTTCAAGTCACATGCAAACAAAAGGCAATGCTGATTATTTAAAGGTTTTTTTTTGGTTGTTTGTTTGTTCATAAAAGGTGAATACTTTGAGTATGAGGACCAGGAAGATAAACCTAATAGGTTCTATATTTAGTTTCTTTTTCCTGGTTTTAATACTATTATTATGTTGTTTTCTGGTGGAAGTTTACATCATCATTGGGATATAGATGAAAATTTTTAGCACTGCTTCAGAGGAAGGAGGTGAGGCAGAGAAAGTAGACAAGTTTGTCAAATCTAGTTACTTTTGGTTAAGTCTTTTTTAGCATTTCATCTCTTAAGATCACTTCCTTCATTTGACACCACAAAGCTGGAAAAGTTTGCCATAAGACACTTCTGTGGCAGAGCCAAAAATAGAATCCAGGTTTCCTGTCTCCCAGTTCTTAACCAAAAGACAGTCCTTCCTCCTTTTGTTACTTTCTTCCTTTTTTTGTTGAACTAAAGATCTGAGTCCTATGAAAGAACAATATGAATGAAGTCACGCCATGCATATTTATATCTTGCATTGCTCTTTAAAATGTACTATGTATCTGCAGGTGTTCTAGTAACTTCTCTAGAGGATCTGCTTAGGTGTACTGTTATATAAATTAAGATTAACGTGCCCTTCATTATTAAGAATATCAGTGTTAGAGTATCTATTGGCTCTTAAGAAATCTGAATTCTTCCAGTATGCCTTTTGGGTGTTTTTTTTTTTTTAGCCTACTTTTTGTTTGTCTTAAGTTTTTTACTTCTTGCAGTGCTATTTTTTTATTTCTGCATGGTAGCTAATGTGGCAGCTGGAGATCTGTTCACTGTGTGTGCACACTCTGGTGAAAGGAACTATACAAGCTGTAGTGATCTGATCTGTACACTATGTAGGATATGATGGAATTTAATGAAGGAAGGGGATTCATAAAAGAACTTAAGAAAAAAAAAAAAACCTCTTGTTGTTTCCATTGTAAAGTTGTACCTACTTTACAATGGAAACAAGGACATGGTTAATGTAAGAAAACTGTGCCTTTTAAGTCCAGGTAGAACTGTAATCAGCTTGCTCCAAACTCAAGTTTACTGAAATAAATGGAGTAGTTAAAAAAACAAACATAACCC